GTGTGTGTGTGTGTGTGTGTGTGTGTGTGTGTGAAAATATATAAAAAATAGGAAAGAACTCGTTAGGTAAATAATCCGAAGTTCTTTAGTATTCTTATTATTTAAAAAAAACAGTGCTCGATACAAAAGTAGAGCCTAAATATAATTATTTATTTAAAAATATGTTTCCTTCGCTATATAAGAGTTCTCATGTTTCAAAACAAGAGCCGAAAACTTCAATATGATTATTTGAATTAAATTGAATTAAAGTACCAAGCTATGTTCCATCTTCAAGCGAATTTTTTTTTTTTTTTTTTTGAATAACTAATTCTTGAAATTTATGCGTTTTATAAGCATATTCATTATTAAAATAAAATTACTATGGTAACGGCTAGAGCAATTATTTAAAAAAAGGGGGGCGTAAGGGTTAATAATTTGTATCAATATCTCAGTTACATTCAAAGTGGTCAAGTCAGGGTGAGGTTGAGGTGTCTAAATTCAAAGCGGAAGATGACATCGTCTAGTCTGGTTAAGTGTCTAGAGAGATATATTTATTTTTTTATTTATTTTCTGGTATATAAAAAACTGTCATAATTCGCTAACATTTGTTTTTTTGACGACTTCATAGAGGTTTTTTTTAAATTTTTTTTTTCTTTGATAGGGCATTTAAACTTTTTATTTAGACTATGGAGTTTAAATTTTGTATTTATTATTTTATTGTTTGTTTGTATTTATGCTAATTATTCAATGCGAAAATTTGATGATGTCGGCAAAAAACCGTTAGCTCATGTCTAATGTTTAATAAATTTTCATTATTTAGAAACTTGATAATGTGTAGTTTTTCATGTAGGCATAAAGGGCATGGGTCATCCCAAGTTTTACAAGTTCTAGTTTTGTTTATAATTTTCCATTTTACTTTTGGTGTTTTATTCATTTCCTTCAAATGTCAAAAATATTTAGATAGAGATGTCTGATTTCTTTTATTAATATTGTTGAAGGAGCAATTATGCTGTCTCCATCTGGTTTTATATTCATTCTTCGTAGACCCAATGTATATCATATTAGTATTAGAACTCTCAATGGATGAGATAGTACATTGGTATACCACAGATTTTACGTGGCATATATTTTCCAATGGGCAGTCTTCTGGGTTTCTACAATCACATAATTTTTCACTATTTTTGTCTAATTTAAGTGTAGGGTTTTTATTAATGCTATTCTGGCATGGGGGTTTATTCAGGATTTTATTATTGTGTTTTTTTTATTATACTTTCTAGATTTTCAGTGCAACTGTAACTTAATTTTAGGGTGTTTTTATTAAATATTTTACTAAGTCTACTATTTGTAGGAAAGTGTTTTTCAATTAAAGCTATGAATTTCTGTACTAGCTTAATACTAACCATTTGGTTGAACGGAGGGGTATACCAAATGATTTTTCTTTTCCTGTTTTTCTTCTGCTTAGTACAATTGCTTCTATAATTGCTGTTAGCATTTTTGTATCCACTATTTTTTAGGGCTGCGTTGTAAAAATTACTGTGTTGTTGGAATATTTCTTTATTAGTGGAGTTAATGCTGATTCTATTCTCTATTGATGAGGGTATATGCTTAAGCATATACCCTTCAAATAATTATATTGAAGTTTTCGGCTCTTGTTTTGAAACATGAGAACTCTTATGTAGCGATGGAATCATATTTTTAAATAAATAATTATATATATATATATATATATATATATATATATATATATGAAGAAATATAATTTTAAGGTGTGCTATATTTATGGGTAAAGTGATCAATATCAGAGATAGAGCGTATGTACATGTAAATATAAAAATGAACATTGAAGTCAACACTCAGAGGCGACAGGCTGTTTCATGCTGGACGCAATCTGACGATTTCTTGACAGTTTTTCAGTCCCCAAGTTGAATGTTCTTTCTTAAAGAGAACAATTACCTCGTGTTGAAAATTTGATAACCGCGGTATCCTGGAACAACAACATTTTTCGTTCATTCATATAGTGAATATAGAGTTAATTTTTTATATATATTAAGTTTTTTCATCATATAGTAAATCTAAAATACCTTGTTTTTTTTTTCTCGGGCACCTTTTAGAAATGTTTGATTTACGGAAGTTTTAAGATTTTTCGTTCAAAGTTTTTCACCTGTAAGTTTTTTCAAAAGTTCGCAATAAAAAACTGGTATGGGCGTTCTGTCAGAGTTAACATTAGAAACCCCAGCACGCATTTATATTATAAGGCTTACGGCCATATCACGTTAAAACACCGGTTCACATACTCTCACCGAAGGTAAGTAACGTCTACCCTGGTTAATACTTAGATAGTTGACCGCTTGTTAAATCCAGGTGCTGTAAGTTTGGATGTACGCGGCATGTAATGAATAATGGCGCGGAATTGTTAATCGGAGAGCCGTGTTCCAAATCCAGTTGGGTTCTTTATATTCTATTTACGCGCAAACACATTGGTGGAAGGTATGACTTCCTCACTTCTCCCCCGGCTATAGGTTAATTAGTAAGATTTGTATTACTAAATCTTTATTATCTAAAAAATTCTTACAATTAAAAAAATATTTTCAGGTTTAAATAACCTGAAAAGGGTTGATAATCTATAAAAAACAAATCATTCGATCAAAGAATTATATAATACTGACAAGGTACTCATTTATTAGCACTCATATCGTCTAGAACGTTTAGCCAATCCCTGTTGCAGACGAATGCACAGGCACATTTGATGTTTTCCGAAACCCACAAAGTCCGCCTGTGGTTCATGATGCAACTATGCTGAGCGGACCTTAGCTGTCGGTTCTGGGTGGGCGCGTATTATCTGGCGTGATCAACATTTTGAACAAGGCCATTACAGTCAAATACTCGGTCATGATGACTTGTGACTTCATGCGACGGCTTCCAAATAGTTTTTCTGCTCAGTTTCACTAAAAAGGCTTGGATCTACCCTTGGTATTGTTTTTAGGCAGTTCTCAAGGATGAAACACGCTGAAATCGCATGGACCATATATATATATATATATATATATATATATATATATATATATATATATATATATTATGTTATGTTACTGGCTAAACAACAAAATAAGAAGAACCAGATTCGTAGAAATTAAGAGACTACATCTAGTAACGAAATGCGGATTTTATTTTACATATAATACAAGATATTTTAGAACAATAGGGGTGAGGTTTAAAACAATATAAGTTAGGAAATGCTAACAAGTTACTAAGAGTGCGAGAGCCCAGAAGGTAGTAGGCTTAAAGGTAACTATACAAGGGAGTGAGAGGAAATCCACTGTAGTTAAGATTAAAGAGACGAATGGAAATTCGTCGCTAGTCCAAGAATTATATTACTTTTTTCTTAATAATAGTTTGATTAATTCACATATATATATATAAAATAAAAGAGTTTGGTCAATAATATCAAGGAAAAAGGGTGAAGTATTTATCGATAGTCTTTTCTTTTCGAAGACTGTAGGAATTTAGATTCTTTTGATCGAAGCTTTGTTCTTGAGTCAAAAGGACAGGAGTTGACCTCAATAGGTGTGGCTGTGGTTTCAGGAGGCATCTGGCTAGTTGGTACGAACTCTTGTATATATATGTTTTTTTAAACCCTCTAGAACCCAGTAGAAGTTTCTAGAGACTTCTAGAAAGTTCCATTCTATTATTACGAAATCTAAAGGTTTTGGTGAATGGGAGCTGTTTGTATGGTAAAAAAGGTATCTAGTAGCTACAGATTTAAGTCATCTTTTTTAAGTTAAATTTTGTATTTTATAGTGTAAGTGTAAAGAAGTAGGACAAAATGGGTCCTCGTAACAATATCTCTCTCTCTCTCTATCTCTATATATATATATATATATATATATATATATATTGTGCGTTGGGTAAATAGTCCCCATTTTATATTTTTTTTCATTTCGCGCATGCGTGTTGTTTGTTTTTCATTTTGTCGATTGCACAGTATGGTAGGGTCAGTTGGGCACCGTCTGTGAGAAAAAGAGCACCAAGACGCAATTAACTCCGCCAGAAATTTGGAAATGGCATGCTGTACGGCTTGACAATCGCGCCGGAAGCTCCAATACAATCATTTCCGGGTGTTTGGGTGTCAATCTGAGGACAGTGCAGAGAAGAGTTGGATGATATATCCAGTCAACATCATGGTGTTTAGAGTGATCACTAGTGATGGAGACGTTATGCCTCCATTCATCTTCCCACAGGGCCTCTGACTCAACATGGATGCCTACATCAAGTGTTTTGGTGGAAGTAGTGCTGTTCTGGGTCAAGGGGAAAAATGCTGGAAGATTCTATATTTGGCAAAAGGACTTTGAACCATGTCACACAAGCAGGAGAACCTAGCTTTGGTTTTCAGACAATTTCTGCGAACATATTTACCCTTTACATTTGGCCGCCTACACCCCAGACTGACCCCACCTTGATTATTATGTGTGTGGCGCAGTTGAGCTAGCGACCAACAAAACTCCTTGTAGCACCAAAGATGAACTGAATACAAGGATTATTGTAGCATTCACCAAATTAAACAAGGGGGCCGCCCAGAAGAATTGCAGGAGATTCCGAAGTCGCCTGCAGTCCTTGGTTGAAGCCGATGGCGATTTTATTCAATAAATGTACTCTTTAGTATTTCAAGATATTTTTGTGTAATTTTGGTAAATATATCTGTTAAAATGAGATGTCGGAGTCATTTTCATTTTTCGCGTAATCTAGACGACAATTTATCCATCGTCCAATATACATACTTACAAATATAAGTTTAAATGACAAACTTAAATTGATATTTATTACTTATATACTTTTAAATTGATATTCCTTGATTATAAATGATGGGCACTTCGACGTGGTGTAATAATTAGCAATCTTGCTTTGCTCGATCAGTTACTTCTGAATGGTGAGTTCGATCCTCATTGGGTGTCCCATCCTTTCAGCCTTGTGACACATCTAAGCTACGCTTAATATATCAACAGAAAAAATGTAAGCTCTTGAGTATGATATTTATTCTGCATCAGTTGGATACAAAAAGTATTAAGTCCGGCCAATATGACCACGAGACTAAGTGCCGCCTCAATTCTATCGGGGATCGATCTGGCATTAGGACCACATTAGCGACAACAATTCTTTGCCGGACACTAGTGACCGACCGAACGACCACTACGTCCGAAGAGTTGCTGACCAATGCCAACCGACTAAATGACCGAGCACTGAACAATGTATTTCCCCCCTGTCGTTCGTTGTTTATCTGCGTTTCTTGGGCAGTGTCCCTTTTTAGCCAGCCGCGGGCATTCTCAGTGTCGGTTTTATTGTTTGATGAAAAAAGAAGGGAGGGTGGGGATTCTCAGCGGGACCCCTGACTGCTCTCCTTTATCTCAAATCTCTGTGTAGTTACAGGACTGTGGTCTGCTCTCGAGGTAAGGAATGGGTGCAAACCATTATATTCCTGTGCGTGTTTCTGTTATAGAAAGTCACAGATCAGTGTGTATTACTTAACAAAGAGAAACGCGAAGACTTACTGATAAAAGGTCATCAAGTTGAAAAAATAAAATGGCGAGTAATGTATGAAATGCTCTGGGGTTTACGTGTTATACGGCGATAGCAACGAGGGATTTGGAAACGGAGTATTGATGACATAGAGGACGGGCTCACTACGTTGAAATTAGAATGAGAGAAATTAAGATTTGGTGATCAGATCTTAGGAAAACATTTTTATTTACTGCAATAGAACAGTGTTTCTTAACCGGTGAATACCCGGATGTCATAATGCACCCCGAAAAGTACCCAGATGCGCCCCAAGTTGGCAGACGAGTAATTTATTAATTACTAGCAGTAGAACTCGCCGTTGCCCGAGGATGTAACAGTAAGAGAGAGAGAGAGATCAAGTATCGACCATCATAAAGACTGAAAAATAAAATTGACAAAGATTATTGATTAAGGTTGACGGACACGCATGTCTTAATTAGTTTTTTTTTTTTTTTTTTTATGAATTGGTCAAACCAAAACTCAAACAAAAACATTGTTTTCAATCGTTATGAGTCTACCGATTAAATAGAATTTTATTATAAACAATTGTCTTGTAAATGGAAATTTTAAAGCATTCTGAATGTAAAAATAAAGAAAAAAGTGTGCAAGACAATAAAAACACTACCTGCCGAGAAAAAAAGTGTTTTTGTTGAAATCGGCTGAAAAATGTAGGAAATCCGATCCCCATATAAACGAACACACACACACACACACACACACACACACACACACACACACACACACACACACAAACAAACCTGGGTTTTATAATAAGTATAACTCGATATGAGTTGTCCCCTTTCATTCTCATGATGATGCCTCTTAATCGTGTTTTCAAATTGATTTCGTGCAAAAACAATTGTGTTTTTCAATTTTTGGCGCTGTCAGAACCACCGCAAGGTAATTTTACGTAGTCCTGTGAAGTTTTGTTGAAATCGGTTGAAAAATGTAGGAAATCCGATCCAATATATAAATGTACACACACACACACACACACACACACACACACACACACACACACACACACACACACACAACCTGGGTTTTATAATAAGTATGATTTTTATATTTAAAAAATCTTTATTTCTAAAAACCTAAAAACACTAACAATATTGCTTCCATGTCTGATAAGATTTCTTCATTTCATTGGTTTGGTTTGTTTTGTTTGAGTTTTACGGCATATCAACCTCAATTGTTTATTTAATGCCGACAAGATTTTTATTCCTAGTAATATTTTTTTCCAAAAATGTATTGCTGGTAATAATTATTTACTTCAAAAATGTATTGCTTGTAACATTTCTTTACAAAAATGTATTGCTGGTAACATTTCCTTAGAAAAATGTATTGCTGGTAAAATTTCTTTACAAAAATGTATTGCTGGTAAAATTTCTTCACAAAAATGTATTGCTGGTAACATTTCCTTACAAAATGCATTGCTGGTAACATTTGCTTACAAAAATGTATTGTTGGTAATATTTCTTTACAAAAATGGCATGTAACATTTCTTTAAAAAATGTATTGCTGGTAGTAAAATCTATTTTTATATTTTCATTTTTTTTTTTTTTTTTTGACACCAGTCTTGGGATTAATTATTTGCCTATAACTTGGATCGTAACAGGTGCTACCACCCCAGGTCAGGATGGACTTGGGAACACCAGCAATTAAGAAGTGGTTCCACGCTCCTAAAAACCTCCTCATCAGAGGCCTTACTGTCGGATGTAGTTTATCGTCTTACCCAAGACCCGGATCTAATTTATTAGATAATGCAAAAATAATTAATTTGTTTCTGCTATTTTATTACAGAAATTATAATTGTATAATACAATCCGTAAGTTATTTCATCATTTTACAAAATCGTGTATCAACAAAGTCTGAAAACTCTTTAGAATGGATGTGAATTTCAAAGAAACAATAATTTCGATAATCTTTATAAAATTTGTGATTTTGTTAAGGACACGTGGCACAGTGGATAAAGACGTTGGTTAGATCCAGTGACAGAACCCAAAGAGTGTGAGTTCAATACCTGATTAATGCTTGGAGAACTTGGAGAGGTGAATTAACACAAGATAACTGACATCCATTAAAATATGGCACGTGGAACTAGAACAGTCTACCCCAGTGAGCGAAATAAAGGGTTCAGTTTGACATTCCAACCACCTGAAGAAGGCCGGAGCGTACAACGGCCGAAACTGTGTAATAAATAAGGCAACAGAGATGAGGACGATAGTCCGAATAATGGTAAATAGTGATATTTCTTCTGATAAGATTTCCTCGTTGGTACCTAGACTTTATGAATTTCAGCGTAAAGATGCCGATGGAGCGAGCGTGTGAGCAACAATGAGGTTTTGGAGAGGATGTAAACAAGGAGGAAGCTTATACTTAACATCGGGAAGAGGCAGCTGAAATTTCTGGAGCATGTAAATATCTGGGAAGTGTTTTGACAGAGAACGGTAAGTGCGACGCTGAGATCCGAAGATGTATTGGTAACAGAGAAAAGAGTACTGAACTTCTACGTGCTATCTGTTCTTCTTATGGCAGCGAATGTTGGACAGTCTCCTCAAAGATAAAGAAGAGACTCGCGATAGTGGAGGTCTGGTTCTACAGAAGGATGCTAAGGATATCATGGACCGAGCGTGTGAGCAACGATGATGTTTTGAAGTGGCGTAAACTTATACTTATCATCAGGAAGAGGCTGCTGAAATTTCTAAGACACGTAATGAAAAAGAAGGGCTTGGAGAATCTGATACTCACAGGTTAAATAGAGGGAAACAGACAAGGGAATGTAACACATGATATATATATGGCGGGCTTAAGCAAGTGGATGACAGAACATAGCCTGGAGGGAAGTAGCAAAGGGACAAAACTTATTGAGAGCTACAAGGGATAGAGGAAAGTGGAGTTTGTTTTTTCAAGCTATTAGTAAATTCTACAAGATAAGCTCTGAATTATAAAATACAATAATTATCGACAAAATAAATATATGTACAGACTCAGTATCATCCAAGCCACGTTTTTCGCCCCCAAAAATATCATTGTATGATTTGTATTTGCAAAGATATTTTAAAATTAAAAATACGTAATAATTGCATTACAATCCATTTTTAGCCATGTAAGCGTTTTGTAATTCTCAGAATTAAAAAGTAAAAACGAACGGGAATAATTATTAATCCTGTTCGTTTTTACTTTTTAATTCTGCTATAATTTGGAAACGTTATATGTATTTTTAAATATTCTATTCTCAAATTTATGTCTGTAATTTTTGTGTGTAATTATTTTAACTTTTTATTATTCATTCATTATTGCAGATTTTAAAAATGAAATTTACTTTACAAAAACAAATTTCAAACAAAATATCTGGAATTAGTCCAGACCATGTCGACGCATCTGTTTCAACCCCAACCGGAAACTATGATAAGGAAAAGTAATTTATTTATGTTATGGAAAATAATTTTTTACTCAATCTTTAAAAAATAAACTTCATTGTTTTTTTTGTTTTGCTTTTTTTTATTTTGGTTTGCTGCTAACATGAAAAAAAGTAAATAATTTTACATTTAGTTTTATTAAAGCAAAAACTATAGCGGGCCATGTTCTTTCGAAATTTAAATAAATTATTTAATTTAAATAAATACAAATATTCAACACTACTAATGTTGAACGTAAGTAATGTCTGTCTCTCATAGGTTTTATTTAAGTTTTATTTCTTTTTTTTCTTTTCCAAAACTGAGGTAACTTGAAATTTGGCTGGTGGATCATCGTTATTTTGTAACCTCCCCACTCCTCAATTGTTACACAGAAAGAAAAAAATGTGCACAGTGCCCCTCAATTGTAACAGACACAAATATATATATATATATATATATATATATATATATAATTTTTTTTAAATATAATTATTTTTAATATGATTCCTTCGCTACATAAGAGTTCTCATGTTTCAAAAACAAAAGCCAAGAACCTCAATATAATTACTAAAATTAAATTGAGTTAAAGTATCAAGCCCTGTTTCATCCTCAAGCGAAAATTTAGGAATACTCTTATGTAGCGAAGGAATCATATTTTTTAAAAAAATAATTATAATTTAAGCTCTACTTCTGTATGGAGCACGGTTTTTGTTTTTTAACTAAAAACAAAAATACTAAAGAACACCGGATTATTTACCTAACGTGTTCTTTCCTATTTTTCTACATATTTGCAGATATATATATATATATATATATATATATATATATATATATATATATATATATAGATAGATAGATAGATAGATAATATTAGTGGTTATATATATATATATATATATATATATATATATATATATATATATATATATATATATATATTCATTTTTTTATATCGGATTTCGTCTATTTTTCTTGTTTTTTTCTTTTCTACCCTCCTTTTTACTACCATTTTTGTTTCTTGTCCCCGACTCTTTTTGCCTCTTCCTTTAACATATGCTCACTCTCATTTTCTTTTACCATCCTTGTTCTTTTATCGCCTCCTCCTAGCCTTTCTTTTTTTCTCTCTCTCCTTCCATTATCCATTCCCCTCTACCCACTATTTTTATTCTTACTGCTTTACACGTTTTATCCGACCGACACCCTACACGAAAAACTCATGAAATGGCCTTTTCTCTTTCCCGAGACACGTCCGCTGTCCCCTACCCTATAGGCCGTCCGATGTTGGTTCTGTACCCACAAAAACTACGCTCGTTCGTTGTCTTTCCAAACCCTCTTGTTTTCTCCACAAACAGCCGCTTCAACTGTCTTCCCCGTAACGCGATGCCCACAGCATTCGATCGCTGGCCTTTGCCTCTACTATTTCGAGCGGACTTTGAATACTTAACAAGTCTGCTACTAAGTGCACTCACAGAGACTAAGCCGATTTTTTAAAGAAAAGAGACAGACACTCTTATGATGACCGCCAAAGAACAGACGCGCTGACCTACTGATAAGTTGATAATAGGCAGAAGGTTGAACCAAAAATGGGGAGAGTAAAGAGGAAATGAACTAACGAGGAACGTAAGACACAAGTTTAAGTTTCTTTGAAGTGCTTGTCATTAAACTTCTGTCGGCGATATTTAACTGAAGGCGCGAGACATTGTACAATGATGGTCAGCAGGCTCGCCTTTCTGAGTACTATGACTTACTCTGATCCTAACAGAACCCTCTAATCTAGTGACCTCCGGACAGATATAACGTTTAACTCTTAATCCAAAAATGTAATCTCTCTCTCTCTCTCTCTCTCTATCTATCTATCTATCTATCTATCTATCTTTCTTTTCTTTGACTATTCTATTATCTTATATATATATATATATATATATATATATATATATATATATATATATATATATATATATATATCACATTCTTTCATAATCTATCACATTCTTTCTTGACCTAACTATTTATCACATTCTTTCATGATCTATCTTTTACATTCTTTTATGATCTATCTATCTATCTATCTATCTATCTATCTATCTATCTATCTATCTATCACAGTCTGTTTATATCCGTCTGTTTCTATCTATCTATCTATCTATCACAGTCTGTTTATATCCGTCTGTTTCTATCTATCTATCTATCTATCACAGTCTGTTTATATCCGTCTGTTTCTATCTATCTATCTATCTATCTATCTATCTATCTATATACAGTGTAACCCGGATATAAGAGACCCGGATATATGAGAAACCCGGATATAAGAGAGATTTTCTCTGGTCCCAAATTAGAGCCTGTGTTAATGTATATAAATTAGACCAAACCCGGATATAAGAGAAACCCGGATATAAGAGACTTCTTCTCCGTTCCCGACAACTCTCTTATATCCGGGTTACACTGTATATCACATTCTTTCATGATCTATCTATCTATCTATCTATCTATCTATCTATCTATCTATCACATTCTTTCATGATCTATCTATCTATCTATCTATCTATCTATCTATCTATCTATCTATCACATTCTTTCATGATCTATCTATCTATCTATCTATCATATCTATCTATCTATCTATCTATCTATCTATCACATTCTTTCATGATCTATCTATCTATCTATCTATCTATCTATCACATTCTTTCATGATCTATCTATCTATCTATCTATCTATCACATTCTTTCATGATCTATCTATCTATCTATCTATCTATCTATCTATCTATCTATCACATTCTTTCATGATCTATCTATCTATCTATCTATCTATCTATCTATCTATCTATCTATCTATCACATTCTTTCATGATCTATCTATCTATCTATCTATCTATCTATCTATCTATCTATCTATCTATCTCAGTGCATCCAAACGCTGTAGTGTAATATCTAAATATATAAACAAATATAACCAAAATACTTCACTGTATTTCAAACTGAATTTGAATTGCTTTGAATTTTTTAATTCAAATCACTAAAATCTCTGACATCGGCCTTATTAACTAATCTGCCAACATAACATCATTCCCTTTATTAAAAAAAATATTTCAAAAATAAAATATACTTTTCTGAAACTTTGAGCAAGGTTAACTGATTTAAAATTTAATCTGAATTAAGTCAAATATTACTTTTAGTTAAATATCGCAGAAAATCTTATTTTAACATGTGGGTGAGTTTTTTATGAATTCTTGACACATTTATCGATAGCTTAACATTTGATATTTTTGAATAAAGGGTACATAAATGTGAAAGCCTTTTAAGAAAAAAATTAAATACCCATTAATCTTTACAATTTAGAAAAATATTTTAAGAAAGTTAGGCTAAAATGCATTCATTTCAAACATTGGTCTACATATATACTCAGGACCTAAATTCAAGACACGACTTAGACGATATCTCTCAAAGCCTAACTTGAAGACACAGCCTTGACGATTTCCTTCAAGGCTTAACTTCAGGGCCCGGCCTAGACGTTTTCTTTCAGGGCCTAACTCCAGGACACAGCCTATATGATTTCCCTCAGGGTTTAACTTCAGGGCCCGGCCTAGACGGTTTCTTTCAGGGCCTAACTTCAGGACTCGACCTAAACCATATTTCTCAAAGCCATACTTCAGAACACAGCCTAGAGGATTTTTTAGGGCCTAATTTCAACCTAGACGATATCCCTGAAAGACTTACTTAAGAAGCCGACTTAGAGGACTTGTCTCATGGTCTAAATACATGATCCAATCTAGGCGATGTCTCTATGAGTCTCTTCAGTCGATGTCGACGATTTTTTCAGAACGTAAATTCAGGATGCGTACTAGAGTGTTTCTTTCAGGGTCTAAATTCAGGAATCGACCTGGATGATATCTCTCAGAGCCTAACTTCAGAACACAGCCTAGATGATTTCCTTCAGGGTTTAAATACAGGGCCCGGCCAAGACGATTTCTTTCAGGGCCTAACTTCAGAACATAACCTAAATGATTTCCTTCAGGGTTTAACTACAGGACCCGGCCTAGACGATTTCTTTCAGCGCCTAACTTTAGGACTCGTCCTGGATGATATCTCCCAGAGCCTAACTTCCGAACACGGCGTAGAGGTTTTCTTTCAGGGCCTAATTTCAGTATTCGGCCTAGTCGATTACTTTCGGTGCCTAACTTCAGAACGCAACTTAGTCTACTTCTCTTAGAGCCTAAATTCAGGACCCAGCCTAGATGATTTATTCCAGGGCCTTATTTCTCAAAGCCTAACTTCAGGATACGGCCCAGAAATTTTCTTTCAGGACCTAACTTCAGGACTTGACTGAGCCGATAACTTTCAAAGCGTAACTTCAGCTTATACTTTTTCTTTCGGGACCTAACTTCAGCACTGGTCTAGAGGATATCTCTCAAAGCCTAAATCAAGGACCCTACTTGTACAGTTTCTCTCGTGGTCTAACTTTATGATCCAACCTAGACGATTTCTCTAAGAGTCTAACTTCAGGATCTGACGTCAACGATTTCTTCAGGATCTAAATTCAGAACCCGACCTAGACGATTTATTTCAGGCCTAAATTTAGGAGGGGGACTATATGATTTTTTTCATGGCCTAACTTCAATACTCGGTTTAGACGATTTTTTTCATAACCTACCTTCAGAATTCGGCCAAGACGATTTCATTTTCTTGTGAAACCAACTCCAAAAAGGAGCTCAATACAATCTTAACCTGTTAAAGTCTAGATTTATCTGTTATCTTACACATATATCAGCATACGCTCTGCTTTTACTCTGTAAACCTTTACCTCACGTAACCCTTGTACAGGGTGACCATAAATGTAAAAAAAAATATTGCGCTTTTTAGTATTAATTAGACTACTCGTAACCCGTCGGGTCACTGACGGTCAAGATTATATATAATATATATATATATAATATATTATATATATATATTTAATATATTTTTTTAATATGCCCAAAAATATTTTTAAATCATATTCACTTGAAAATAGTTTTTAAATATGCCAAAAACATTATTTTCCAATTTGGGTCAGTGACTGTTGTTGAAGGCCAGATATATGTCGAAGATATTGAAAACTGAAATTCAAGATATTCAAGACCTTTCCCCTTGAAATATTCAACGAAGCTGATCGTCAGTCCAAGGTCAAAGATTGAGCCTCGCCGGATAATCCTTCAATTCACCAGTGAATTTGAGCATCTTTATTTTTATTTCTTACAAGGCAACACGTAACCTGTTGGGATCACTGACGGTTCAGTTTATAAAACATTGAAGTTCATTTCAACATACCATTGAAATGAAAGTTTATTTTGTTATGATTCAGTTAAAGATTTCAATTCGTTCATTTCATCATTGTTCTGGTTTACAAGTTCATGTTTAACGTTTTACTGATTGTTTACAGAATTTAATAGCAATAGAACCTCCGGGATAGAAGTGAACTTTAAATCAGATTAACTTTAAAATATTTTTTAATATGCCCAAAAAATATTCTTAAATCATATTCACTTGAAATATCTTTTTTTTAGATATGGCAAAAAATATTTTTTTAAATATTTAAAATATTTTTTATTTAAAAAAGCTGAAATATAAACAAATGGGCGAAACAGCAAAGCGGGATCTCTTTGTGTCTGTCTTTAAGTTTTAAACTTTAAAATATTTCAATTAAAAAAAATTGACTTTTGTCAGAAAGTTAAAATAAAAAACACTTACTCTATAAACAACTCGTATTTTTAAATCATATTAATTTAAAATAATTTTAAATCAGATTAACTTAAAAATATTTAAAATATTGTTTGTTTAAAGAAATCTGAAATATAAATAATTACTCTACGAACAACTGAATGAAACAGCAAAGCGGCATCTCTTTGTGTCTGTCGTTAACTTAAAAATATTTTAATTAAAAGAAAAGTACGTTTGAAGAAAATTAAAATAAAAATATTTAGTGTACAAACAACGCGTAAATCATTACGTGCTGACCGGACGCACCACACAAGCACGCAAGCAATCACAGACATTTAGTATTAGATAGATAAATCTCTTCACTCTTTCTCTCTCCCTCTCTCTCTCTCTCTCCTCTCTCTCTCTCTCTCTCTATATATATATATATATATATATATATATATATATATATGAGTGTATGTATCGAGGCAGCAAATTCTCTTTTGACATGTCTGATTAAATAAATTGCAACTGTCTGCTTATTTTTAGCATAATCCATTCATATTCACGGATATTTTTTGCACCGTAACAGTGAAAATCACTTTTATTTCCCAAGTACGTTCCCGCTCTTTCTGAGGTCATCATCAGGGGTGCAACCGGTAAGCCAACAACTATGTGTCGCTATCCATTACTGAATTATTTCTTTTTGTGTTTGAATGCATCAGCTGACATATATATATATATATATATATATATATATATATATATATATATATATATATATATACTCTCTCGACTCTCCCGTCGAATTCGAC